ACCTGATTGCACTTGCTACTTATGAGTGGATTGCCTATAGACATAGACTTTGTATGGACAAGTATATATGTAATCCTTGCTTAACAACCATAATAGGGACCGAAAAATTGGTTATTAAGCAGGGCGGTTATTAAGTGAATTGGATCCAATTTTACAACCTTTTTGCAGCAGTCATTAAGCAAATCATGCAGTCATTAAGTGAATCACTGTGGTTATTAAGCAAATCACGCAGTCACTAAGCAAATCACACATTTCCCCATTGATTTTGCTTGCTGGAAGCCAGCTGGGAAGGTTGCAAATGGCAATCACATGACCCCAGGATGCTGCAACTGTCGTGTGAGCTGGATGCCAAGTGCCCGGATCATGATCACATGACCATGGGGTTGCTAGGACAGTCATAACTTTGGGCACCATTCACAAGTCATTTTTTTAGCACTTTTGTAACTTCAAATGGTCACTAAACGAATGGTTGTTAAGCTTGGACTACCTGTAATGAAATATGGGACTCATTTATACAAAATACAGTGAATTTTAAAAAATGATAGTCATATAAATGTATTAGAAATAAATACATACTTGAATAACATTTGCATTAGATAAGTATATATAGAATTGTAATTGTTTACTGTTATTATATTAACATTTTTTTCTTTGTTCTTTCACTTTTTTGTTAAAATACTTTCTATGTGGGTTTTTTTTCCCTTCTCAAAAATAAAAAAATAAATGATTACATATACTATTCTGATAGATATTGTCCTTCAAAGGTACATTGAAAGTTATAGGCCCCAGCTTTCCTGCTCCTCCAAAATGGATTTTCGCTAAAAGGGAGAGATGGATGTGATGAAACCGTAGTGTAGCTGAATTGCATAGTTTGCTTTGGGGGAGAACAGGAACCTGCCTGTCTGAGCAAAAGGCAGTAGAACAGGATGAAAGAAGGTGAAAAGCAGCAGTTGACATGTCTTCCCTGCTGTCTGCAGATGAGGTACAAGCAGACTTCAACCAAAAATTCACAAACCTGGGAAAGAGGAAGACTGGTATGTTTAGGGGCATGGAAACAAGAAGCCCAACTGACTTAGATTGGAGCATGAGAGACAATCAAGGAGGAACATTGCCTTGCGAAGGATCTTCCCTAGCAGAAACAAAGGGTGGAGGACTTACCCCATGGAACTGTTTTTCACCGGGCTGGTTTCTTGTTAGGACATTGGATCAAAAATGGTGGATACTTCTAAGCCTTACTGGGCCAAATTAATACATTTTAACTCTGCAATTCAAAGTATTTCTTGCTGCTTCTAGAGGTTCCCCTCCCCAGTATAGTGGAACTGCTCTACATGTATGTGAATTTAATAGTTTATGGTAACCATAAAGTATCCTTCCAGTCAAGTTCAACTCCTGATAACTTCACAGACACATTTATTGATCAAAAGATAACCCTCCCCAAACTGTCTCAGGATAGATTTTTATTTTCTGTCATAGCCTACAGCCTTGGGCTGCCTTCCTTCCTCTTCCCTTTCCCTCAATTATAGTCTGCCCCAAAATCCAACTAATAAGAGTTATAAATATCCAAGAAAAACCAACAGAAATAATTATATCAGCAAAGACCCCTCGGATGGCAATCCATAATCCAGCAGAGCTGAAGTCCCACTGCAGTGATATTGATTTTGGGTATTTGCCTAACAGAAGCCATGTGGACCTCTGGGGAGATTACTGCAGAGGGTGGGGGCTACCACCGAGAAGGCTTGTCTTGTATCCTGTCCCCCATTAGAGAAGACTCTGAACCAAACCCTTCTAGATATACAGATCAGATTCTGGGAACCAGTGCAACAACTTTAGGAATGATGTTGTTCTGCACTGGCACAGTTGCCCCACCAGCACTGTAGTCTGTACCAGCTTCCAAGTTACCTCCAAAGGCAGCCCCATATAGAGCATGTTACAGTAGTCCAACCTTTGCTGGTGGTCTTCCATTCAGATATTAACCAAATCCACTTCTGCTTAGCTTTTTGAGATCAGCCAAAGTCAGCTGGATTAGTTACTTGTTCTACTTTACCTATTAGGCTTTTTCAGTTGAAGTAAGCTTTTGGAAGCCAGATCCTGATTAGGGGAACACCACAAATAGCAGAGAACCATTGCTTCTTAGGGTACAAACGTGCACTAGTCAGAGGATCCAATGTGGGCTAACCAACAGTATCTGGAGAAGAGCAGTCAAAAAAGTGAAGAGGGCGCCCATAACTGCACAATTGAAGACTTCTCTGTTTTGAATGTGCTAAAGGGGTGAGACTTTGATCATGTGATTGTGACTAACATCCTGGCTTTTTTGACCCCATCCCTGGAAGACACCCTGGTACTAACACCTCATTCTTCCACTTGTATCTTGGTTTTGACATGCCATTCATGTTCTCTAATCTGTAATAAATCAATCTTTACAAATTATTGAAACTTGGTCATTAGTTCTCCTGCCTGCTATTTTACTGGCAGGAAGTTCAAATCAACAACTTCCGTTCTATAATATACTCCATCTTTGCCTTCTGAGCAAGTTATATAATTAATATGTTTATATTCATTGAATGCTTCAAGTGTCTAATGAGGTAAGTAGAAATGCATTACTAATAAACAGTATTTCTGACTGAATCTGGGTGGATGAGGGTTGTCTGCAGAGCACAATTATTAACAAAAAACCTTCAGGGAACCAATTGTTTGATTTCTACGTCTGTGAATTGAATCGGATGGAAAAGGATCCAGAGGGGAAGGAAATACAATCTGTTGATCTGTGTGACTCACAATACTCTATTGAAATCATTCATAATTTCATTTCAGAGCAATAAATGTTGGAAGTTTTGTTTTCAATTCAATGACCTTTCTCTCCTCTTCCTTTTCTCCTTATTCTTTTTTTGCAGAGTTGCTGGGGGAAAAAAATCAAAAATCTCCGCTTGAGATTCATAAGTGCTCTGCATCGTGTGAGAAAGAGACTTCCTTACAGGAAAAGCACGCACTTTGAGGACGTAGCTGGGATGCCAAGAAACATGATGTCAGACTTCTCAGGGATGCGATATGAAATTCCTCCTGAGGTTCAGTTTGGAAATGTTGAAAAAACCCATCATCTTGAGAGTGGAAAAAGTTGCCCAAGACGAAAATACTCAACACTGGTAAGTATCTGGAGACAGAAGAACCTTTTAACTTTTATTTCATATTATAATGCTAGAATGTGTTACTGTTGGATTGTAGTCCTTGAACAAGGAATGAGTTCTTGTGGATGGCCTCCTTTGAAGAAGAGAAGCTTCTTCTGTCCTTCAGTATGTCTATTCAGTCACATCAACCCCTTCATACTTTTAAATTTGGGGGATTACAAATTTTCCAAGATGCGAGCATAATTATTGACATGGGGTCAGATGTCACCAGTGTGCTGATATATCCAGCTGTATATCTGGACTTCAGGCAGAACAGGAAATGCAGTCAGGTGCTATCCCAGTGCCTGGAGATCGTGTGGAGACTTCTTGAACTCACAGTTCCTGCCAGAAGTGGCAGATGTGGCTAAAAGGGCCTTGCACAATTTCATCTTGGGCACCAGTTACAATCATTCCTGGACTAGAAGGCCCTGCATACAATCACTGATTGCATTCAATGCATTCAAAAAGGTCTCAGATGCATTCTTAAAGCCCTTCCAAAAGTTGACACTGAACTGCAATTTTTCGTGTGACTAATAAGCAAGCCATTGCAACATTAGGAGTAATGCAAAACTAGCACAACGTGTCCCTCGACATGGCTGGAGCACTTTTCACGTAATGTGAGACTTCACAAGGCGAAAAGCGGCTTCTCCAAGAAGAATTCTTTGTGCGTGGAAGCCATCCTGGTGGGTTGAGCAAAAACATCCGACGTCAAAGCAGAGCTGATTTTCTGTGTCTGCATTTACTTATTGGCTTAGCTGCATCCTCATGCCTGTCTCATCCTTCACCGTGGACTCAGAAGGGTGAGGATATTGCTTCAAGCTACACAAATTGCTCTACTGTTGTATCACCCAGCTTCCTTACTTGGTCTGTGGTGCCTAATTACTCTTCAGTTTTTGGTGTTTCAGATGACTGCATTAATTGACATAAAGAGGGCTGGGTCATGCTTCTACTTGCCTAATTAGCATGTGGGCACTGAGCACCCAAGCCAGATGTGGTTGTTTTGGGCTGCAGACAGACAGGGTGATAAAAAACAAGCAGATCATTTTGTCCGCCATGCTACACACCAGGTTTCAAAGCTGAACTATCTGATCTACAGCAGCCCATGGGTGTCACGTTTGACCCGTGGCTTTTTTCTCCTGCTCATTTCTCCTCCACATTTTGCCTGGGGAGAGCAAAGATAATGAAGTTGCTTGCCTGTTCATCTGGAAGACGGGTGGTTCTAGGCTGAATATTGTCCCCATTCCTCTGTAAAACAGGGTTCTAGGCTGTCAGCATCATCTGCATTCTTCTGTAAAACAAGTATCATTTAGGCTTTCTGGATCTGCTCCACCCATCTCAAAACAGGTGTGGTTCCGGGCCATCTGTATCTGCCCCTTCATCCAAAACGGGTGGTTCTAGGCTGTGCCTCTTCCCCATTCTTCTCCAAAATGGGTGGTTCTAGGCTATCAGCATCACCCTCGTACTTTTGCAAAACAGGAGGCGGTTCTAGACTCTCTGCATCTGCCTTCTTGTCTTCTACTGGTTCTATTCTCTTCCTTTGCAGGTTTATTCTGCCCGCTGTTCTTGCAGTCCTAGCATCTTAAAACAACTTTTAAGTCTTTGCTTGGTTTGTATAGCGATGCGTTGGTCACTTCTGGGCCCTTTGTCTCATATAGCTACTGCCAAATGAAAGCTGCCTGCTGCCAAGCTGGTTCTCCCAGTCTTGTAATTCTATAATTAAGCTGTTCTCTGGATGTTGTGTTTGGGTAAACTGTGTTAAGGACTTTATTTGCATTTTAAGGCAGCATTTAGGTGGGTGGAAACAATATAATGGTGCTCTGCACCTAGCAAGTTGCATGGTGTACTGTTTCAACAGGGATTAAGTGATTTCTGGTGAGAAATTGTTCCAGTAATTTGACTGAGAGATGTGAGAGAAGTTGCCTTCTCTCCCCCTCCCACCTCAAACCTACAGTACAAATTCAGATTTATTGCAGTTTCCTTTCAGTAGCAGCAAATGGGGGGCCTCTAGTATGAGGCCAAATTAATCTTTCACAATTTGTGCACCTTCCAAATATAGCGTCTTCTGCCTTCAGAATGAGTCGAATGGCCATGATATGATGGCTGGGGACTTCTGGGAGTTGAAGTTCTGGAGCATAGCTAGTTTGGGGGAAATCAGAATTGCCGGATAGACTAGAAAAAGAACTTGAGCGTACACAGAAAAGCTAGAATGAGAAGATTATTTAAGTTCTCTTAAGAAAACTTAGACCAGACGCCAACCTAATCAATCCTTTTAATCCCATAATAATCAAGCAAATCCTTCTGGGAAGCCCACCGACAGAAATGAGCACCACCAGCGTTTACTCATTTATTTAATTTCCTATCACTTTCGTGCCACTTCAGTCGACATCTTTGCATGGCACCCTAAACCCAGTAACCAAACCCAGTTATGGCTTAACAGGATGGCCTGGCTCACACAATGTGAAAAGTCAACAGGTCCCATGAAATGTTGAATCATCAAGGATCCACCCTTGTTTTAGCCTGGTCTGGCTTGTGTGCAAATCCAAATGTGTTGAGAAGTATTAAGTTGACGTTGGTACCACTATCCCTCGATGGGTTTACCTTGCATGAAATTTGTCTGCACCTTTTCTGAAGTCATCCAAGGGGATGACTACCACAATCTCTATAGATGAAAGAACCTGCTTTGGTCTGTCTTGAATCTTCCTCCATTCAGGTTGATTTGATGACCCCGGTTCTTGTATGAGGGAAAGGCAAATCTCTCCTTAGTCCTTCCCTTGATTACTTGCATGATTTTATGTGCCTCACCATCTTCCGTCTCACGCTTCTTTTTCCTGAGCTGAGCTGAAAAGTTCCAAACACAGTATGCAGGAAACTCCCTTTTCTTCAGAAGGAGGTTGTCCCGGCCCCTTGTTACTTTATTGGTTTTTCAGTGTTCTTTTTGAGATGCAGAGTCCGCAGACATTCACAGTGTTCCAAATACTGTTCCATTCAGCATAGGTTAGAATAAAGACGTTACAGGTAGTCCTCACTTAATGACCATTTGTTTAGCAACTGTTCAAAGTTATGACAGTGCTAGACGGTAGTTACAGGCGGTCCTCGAAGTTACAGCCATTGCAACGCCCCCACGGTCACATGATCAAAATTCGGGTGCTTGGCAGTCTGCCTGCATTTATGATCACAGCATGCCCTTCTCCCCACCTGCCTGTCCCTCCCCATCTCTGGCCTTTTGGCCACCCTGCTGCTGTTGCTGCTGCCTACCCCTGCCGCCCCCTGCCAGCCCCAGCTAACCTTCGCCATCTTCTTCCTCCTGCTGCTGATGAGGCGCGCCCGGCTGAGGCAGCTGCTGGCCCTTTGTGAGGCCTCCATGAAGCCTCGTGAGGCCTCACACTTCACAGAGGCCTCAGAGACGCCTCACATGGCTGCACAAAGGCCTCGCAAAGGGCCAGCAGCCTCCTCAGCCAGGCACACCTCAGCAGCAGCGGGAGGAAGAAGACGGCAAAGTTCAGCTGAGGGCGGAAGGAGTAGGCAGTGGCAGCATACGGGGCGGCCAAAGGGGCAGAGATGGGGGGAGATAGGTGGGTGGGGGGAGTTGAAGCAGAAGTGAGTGTGGCAGGGCAGGAGAACAATAAGGTCCTCGCCTAATGACAGCATGGTCTTTGCTTAACGACCACAACCGAACTGCTGTCGCTAAGTGGCCACTTCGCTTAGCAATGGAAATGCCAGACCCAATTAGGGTGGTTAAGCGAGGACTACCTGTATAGCAAGTATAGACAATCCATTTTTGGAGACAAGTGAGCACATTAGGAATTTGAGGAACACTTACCTTGCTTTCTGCTTGCTTAGCATCCACCCTACTTAATTCTAAAGTTTTCTTACTATTTTATGACTTTGGCATTCTATTAATTTCAACATTACAAATTAATTAAATAAATAAAATGTTCGGCTTTTTTTTTTTTTTTTTTTACACTGGCCTGATATCACTCAGGGAAGGCTTTTTAAAAAGCTATACTGATGCCAGCTGGATTTCGTTTTGTTTCCTCACCTTGGATTTGAACGAGGGGCTCTTAGACTGCTGTAAATGCCATGGATAGTGTCTCAAAGAAGATGGTTGAAAGGTGGATATCCTTCACTCACAGGTTTATATTCGGAAGAACTTATGAAACACTCTGGACTAAGCATGTAGTGGAGAAAGAATGGATCTCCATAGATTGAAGATCTAAGTATGTTAGAACCAGTGAAGTGTAGTGATTAATGTGTTGGACTAGGACCAGGGAGACCTAGGATCAGATTCCTGAGCAGAGCATCCCATGATGTCAGCCTTGTGAGGTAGTCCAGACAGGAAGCATACCCAGAAGTACTAGCTCTACTTCGTTGTAAGGTTACATTATCAGAATCTTGCAGTCTGAAAGTACCTCTCTCCCCCCTGGCCTTTACAGTCCAAAAAACTAGGGAGGGTCCCTTCTGAGATGTTTGCCAGGTCCCCATTCCTTCTGTGGACTCAGCTGACGTGTTACATGACCATTGTCTACTCTGTGGCTCCTCCACCTGTCTCCCAAGGTCATCCCCACATATCATTACGCATAGTCCCTGAACCAAGCATCCCGTGGCTTCTTTTATTTCTGGAGTATTTGGAGTTCCTCCCAGTTTGTTCCTGTCTCCCTCCTGTGTGAAGAGGTAGTATTGTTTTAGCTGCTTAATATTTTTCTCAAGGATTCCTTGTGTTGTGCCTAGAGACTCCAGAGATTTCCAGCACACAGCTGCAATTTTCATCCAATCAAGTCCATTTCTCCCCTGAAGCTCTTGGTTGCACTTTGCATAAGTTGTGGGTTTTGCTGCTATTCTCTTGGAAGGGGGAGAAGCTACTGAATCTGGGATGATCACTTTGGTTCAAACATCAGATTGATTTTGTCTCCTTTGCTCAGTCTTTTTGAAAGTGATAACGTGTCTGATCGTTGAATTATTTGGATATTGCCTACTTTAGATGTTTTGTTCAAAAACAGCTTTGATTTTTGCCTGTAAGTCCAGGACTTACCAAATCTTGTGACATAAGTTACAAGGTAAAAAACATAAGTTAATTGCCAAATTCTCTATAGCAAAACACTAGAAAACTAAAGTATGACTCTCCTTGGATCAATAATACTTAAAAGTGTGGGGAACAGCACTGGTTAAACACAAGAAAGAGTCCTGAAGAATCCTTCAAGTGAGAGATGCGCTTTTCAAATTTGGTCACCAGTTTTGAACTCTATCAAACAGAGTAATATCTAATAGTTTACTTCTGGGTGGCAATATAGCATATGGGTGCTTAACACTCTGCACCTGTTTCTCAGATTTAAATATCTCTTTGCATGTGTTTCTGTTCTTACTCTTATCATGCTTTTTTATTTTATTTTTTGGTAATCTTTGATTTCTGATTTCTAGTTAAAGATTGTTGCTTCATTAAAAATGTTTTTAAAATCCAAATTCATTTGAAAAGTGTGCCTTAACATTTTCTTATATAACATCTGAGTTTGCATTTGTGGTTAAATCTTAGGATGAAGACGAACGCTTGAAGAATCTAACTCATGAAGAAAAAGATGTCCTACTTTTTTTTGAAGAAACTATTGATTCCTTGGAAGAGGACTTGGAAGAGCAAGCCTTGCATGACAGTGGTGTCTTCTGCCATTCTCCAAAGTTGGTGGAAGAAAACACATCCAGCCATTCAGGGTCTGAAGATATCATAGACTTGGTCCCGTCAGCACCAGAGAACAACACAGAACCAGGTAATGTGACTTTGTGTTCTGGAAACTAAACAGGTTGTCTTCCAAGGAATAGGGTTTCCCAATGATCTTCATGGTGAGGGTTGATGTTTGTACTTTTCATGGTACTCTGGGCATAGGAATCTAAAGGAATAAGAAAGCAAATGAAAACATGTGTATCTTGGGTCATAGCACAAAGGGCCCAACTTATGTACTTGCGTCGGACACCATCATGCAACTGCATGTGAAGCCTTTTTGTGATAAACTCACGGCACATCTATCATCATTTTGACATTGTTGCGGTTTGTTATGAATACCACTGATTCTGGAGTGCATTCCCCAAAGCAGATCTGGCTAAGACAAACCCAACCTTTTCTTTGCTTTAAATTGAAGCTTAATTAAAATTAAGTGGGGCAAGTTTGATTATTTCTTATGCATTTCATTCGTTTTACGATATTAAAAATGGCAATCTGGAAACATCTGGAGATGTCTTGGGGCTACAGCAAGGACTTGGAAGACTGAAGTCTGTGACCTCAGGTTTTCATTTTTTGCTACAGATAATCGTGTCATGAAGGGAAATAAAGCTGAGTACACAAATCTTGGGTAGACTTAATACATGACACCCCATTCCCCTGTTTGCCCAGAACTCCCTTTTCAGAAAAGGACATAGAACCAGTTCAGTTGCAGATTTGAGTAAAATCATAGGGATGCTTTAAAAGAAATCCAGGAAGCATTTTGGGATGAATTTTAGAATGGTATTAATCTGTTATTTGTAAAATACTGGGCATCTCTCTTTTTTGCAACTAGACCATTCCGCATAACTTGTAAAGAAGATCTAACGGCTTCCTTTCTTTTTCTTCCTAGCACCGGAAAAAACTTGGAAACTGGATAAGCCAAAGCTGGAGGATGTTGAACCATCAAGGGAAGATGTCCGTGTTAATCCAGTTTCTGCTCAACCTACACTGCCTTCAGCACCCCCATTGCCAGTCTGGGAGATGTATCCTGTTCAGCCTGATGTAGCACATCCAAAACTCCTTCGTTCGATCCCCACTCCTCTTCTGATTGCTCAGAAAATATCTGAGCAGGAGACAGAAGGCAGTTCTTCCTCTCTTCCTTCTCCAAAGGAACGGAACACCAGTGAGAGAAGGAGTGTCCCTGCTTCTTCCACCCTGTGCAGTAGAGAGCATGTCAAGCCATATGTCCCCCCTCCAACTGCTCCCAAGCCCCAGAGGTTCCCGAGCAACATCAGCTTCACCAACGCTAGCGAGCGGGAATTCAGCAAAATCATCTCCAAGGCAGCCGTCAATGTTCAAGAGCGCAAAGCTCAAGTGTTGGCCAACGTCAATGGTTCAGCCTTCCTCATAAGTGAGTTGGAGGAGAAACTACAGAAGCGTGAACTTCTGGGTCCCAGTCGAAACTCATCCTTACAAGATTTACCTTCTGAGCCAATGACCCATGAAGCCTTGAGTAACTTAAGCCCGGTTGAAAAAACTCTGGCACGTGCCCAACTGGTCTGCCCTCTCACAATCCCCCCCACAAAGAATGAGGGGCCTGAACTAGGACATGTTGTACCAAATGGCTATCGAAACATCCATGAAATCTTGAAAAAGGATCCTAATCTATTGCCCACCATGACCAAAACAATGACTTTCAAGCCAGATACTGACCTTGTGGATGGTACATCTGCTCAGCCAAACACCGCCAAGAGTTTTTCCAGACACACCCAGCAAGACTTCATCCTTGATATACGGAGGAGGTCTGGCTCGTTGCCCAAATCCTCAGGACTCCAACCCAGAGGTATAACAGTACAGTTTTCCGGCCGTGGATCAACAGAAGAAGCTCGGCGGGAGGCTCTACGAAAACTTGGACTTCTAAAAGAATAGTGGAATGAGAATAACATCCAGAGAACATTATGTGCCCGAAGACAGATTCCAATGTGATCCAAAGACAGCTCTCTTTATCACACAGACTAAGGAAATAATGAGTATTGGAACTCCACTGTTCTGTGCTGGCATTTTTTGGTGAATGTCCTTGACGTGAAGTCATAGTGCTTACTGAAGACTTTGAGGCAGTTAATAAAAGCCTGGCTGAAAGTAAGCGTGTCAGGCTAAATGAAGGTCAGTGGGCAGTATGTGTGTAAGCTGGGTACATGTGTCACTGGCAATTACATCTGCGTCCATTGGATGAAGCCCAAAGAGTCCCAAGAGGGACAGTATTAATGAATTCTATAAGGATAAATGTATGCAGTACATACACACATATTCGACAACTCAAATCTGTAATAAAGCTGCTATCTCTGATTGTCACAGATATTTAATACCACACACACTGCAGATCATTCCTTCTTTTGCAGAGTAACTGGCGAGACTGTACGAATCTTTTTCAGGATGGTTGATAACTTGAAAAGCATTGTGTCTGCTGGATTTGACAAAAGGTCCCTTTTTCTGCACCCAGTATTCTGTTTCCCATAGCCACCCAGTGCCTGTGCTTCTGAAACCAGTTGTGTTGAAATGAAAGGGGACCCCAATGTGCCATAAGTCTGGATTGCAGTCTTGGGCGCCCTACTTTTCTGACTTCCTAGGCACCATGTTGAAGCATACGGTGACCTGCTCCTCCTTCCAGCACCTATATTAGGCTAGTGTGTCCCATCCTGAGCACCCTCCAGATGCCCTGGGAGCTCAGGTCCATGCATCTGGAGAGTGCCCAGGTGTAGGCTCACATAAGCTCCTAGAACTAGGTACAGAGTTGTACATGGCACCTAACAAAGAGCGAAGGAACTAAAGAAATAAATAGCTGATACTCATTCCAAGTAGTACAAGGGAACACTACAGCTGAAGGTCTACAGGTCATTCTCCCTTCCCTCCCTACTATTAAAACCCATTTTCGCTGAGTCTATCAGGATTCTGCTGCAGGGAAGTCCTGCAAAGTGGGGAAGAAGCTATGCTATCAGGCTTCAACTACCTGGACCATACCTTTTGCTCTTTGTAGCTCAGACTGTATTACAGAGTTTAGGGAAGTGCTCACAGATCTCCTGAGAAGTGGCATTGGAAGATAGGAGGCCCAAGAATTGTCCTGCATTGTAAGAAGCAGAGCCTTTCTCAGACTCGATGCCCTACTTGCATATTGATCCTTTCAGCTAAGGTGTCTTGTAGTAATACTGTGAATTCTCGTTTTATCTCAAGTCCTCTTAGTCAATGTAGTGTGACAACTGCTGTGAATCCAGAGTGGGCTAGTCATGTTGACCTCATGCTGAAACAATAGCAACTCCTGTGATTTAAAGAGAATAAATAACCTTCTGTTGCCATAACTGTCTCATGTTACTTCTGTTGGGGTGCTTATGAAAATTGCCTTTATGAAATTCTTCTAGGGTTATGTCAGCCTTGCAAGGTAGCCCAGACAAGAAACACACCTAGAAGTACTAGCTTTATTGTAAGGCTACATTGATGGGATCTTGCAAGTCTGAAAGGACATCTCTCCCCCGTTGCCTTTACAATCCAAGAAACTAGGGAGGGTCCCTTCTGAGATGTTTGCCATGTCCCCATTCCTTCTGTGGACTCAGCTGCCGCTTGTCTGACCATTGTCTAGACCACAGCTCTTCCACCTATCTCTCAAGATCATTCCACAAACCTCTCCAAGTTAGTGGCCGCCACCATATTTTCTAGAAGCAAATTCCATGCTATATGAAGACAAAGAATGGGACTGAAATTAAAACAAGGGGAAGCCGGAGTGGGAAAGCTGGATGAGCTCTGAAAAAAAATAGGATTGTATCATCTAGTTGTACTTGGATGACCAGTTCCAGTGTTTGCCAAGTTAAGGCTTTCCCCCCGCTCTAATTTAAAGAGGTTGGTAGATTATGTGTTCCAACCAGTTTAATACTTACTTCTTTCCCCCTCAAGGATTAGGAGCTGCAAGTTTGAATGAAGGTGTGGAGGTGATGTGTGGAAATAACACTTTCAAACTCCTCATCTGTTTTCTAGCAGTGATTCAGGAGAAACCTAAAGTGAACTTAAGTCCACTTGAAGAGACCATTTCTCATTCAAAGCTACCTGAAGAAAGAAAGGCAAATGTTCATCTTTTATAAGGACATTTATCTATCTATCTATCTATCTATCTATCTATCTATCTATCTATCTATCTATCTATCTATCTATCTTCTATCTACCCACTATCTATCATCTATCTTTTGGAAATATTTGCCAATGATTTTTTTATATATATATATTTCCCATTAGAGGCATAATTCAGCCTTTACAAGTAGCTTCACAAATGTGAAAGATATTTCAGATTTCATATAGTTACCTCATGCCTCCATTTGTTTTTAGGAGTAGGATGCATTTACCAGAAAGAAATACTGTTTTGTTTTTTCCTAAATAAATACATCTCAAATCAAATCCCCATCCTGGTCACTGCAATTTTTGTGGTGGAGTTATGGAAGTAGTCTTCCAATGTCTTCTTCATTGTTGCTTTTCAACTGCTAGTCTAGACCAGTGGTTTTCAACCTCGGCAACTTTAAGAGGTATGGACCTCAACTCCCAGAATTCCCCAGCCAGCAATTCCACACATCTTAAGGTTGCTGAGGTTGAAAAACACCAGGCTAGCCTACAGCCCTGGGACTTCCAGGCTATTTCTTATCCAATATTAACCAAACCTGAATCATCTTTTTTTCAGATTAACTAAGGTCAGCTAGGTAAATGCCCTTTAATATTCATTTTAACTTTGGAAGATTGTCTTGAATGGTTAAGAAGATGGAGACCCATTCTTCTGATTTAATTCTCCATTTATGGGATTGTTGTCTTGAATGCAGGGTCATCTTACTTTTGGGGAAATATAATACTGGATCTCAGATTACCTACTCCCAGTCTAATCTTCAGGCTACCTGCGACCATTTTTCAGGAGTTAAGAATGTGATGAGGAGAGAAATGTATTCTCAATGTTCATGGCACATAATATAAGATAGCAGTGACTTGATGCAAAATTCAGGAACTTGGATGGATGGATGGATGGATGGATGGATGGATGGATGGATGGATGGATGGATGGATGGATGATAGACAAATAGATATGATAGACAAGGAGATGGATGGATGAATGGATGGATGGATGGATAAGATAAAGATAGATAGATAAATGATAGATAATAGATAGACATTGATCCCATGATCGTGTTCATCCAAAATCACTGAAAAATGAATGTGTTTGTTTTACATCCCACCTTTCTTCTAGGAGATCAAGGTAGTGTATGTAGCACTATTTTTTTTTTAACATTTTTCCACAACAACATTCACTGACTGGCCCAAAGTCAGTGAGCTTTCATGGCTGAAGGAGAGACAAAACTTCCTCTGTATTTGAAATGAGGAAGTTTGTATTTCAAGACACAGCCTCAGACTTCAAGCCTTTAAAAAAATGATAAAACAACCAATAGCTTAATGAAGCCTCCAGTTGTAGTGGCAGTAAACCCCTGAATGCCAGTTACTGGGGCCAGAGATTTGTTGCTATTAGCCTGCTGGTAAACTTTTGAGACGTTTGTGGCTGGTGGTTGGCAAAAGAACGCTGGATGCAATCCGCGTCTGGGGCGTGGTGCTCGCCGTCTGGGGAGACATTCTCTCTCTTTGGAGAATTTGGAAACGGAAAGTGAGAAGGCTCTTCGACGTTTGCCAGTGAAGCTGAGATGCTTCACAACTGAAGTCAGCTTAGTTCACATTCCTCAGCCCATCCCCTCAAATCCAGTGTTATCATTGGCAGAAAAATAATGTTGGCAGGAAAGGACGAAAAAAGATGGCCCTTCCCCAGATCAAACAAACAGGAGCCATTTTTTCTGGGAGAAAATGGGATAGGGAGGTTGAATTGTCCCCCCAGAAACACAACCAGATCTTTTTTCCTAATGCCTTTTCTGTTTATTCTTAATCTCTCTCTCTCTCCCCCCCCCCCCCCCCCCCCCGATGGACTTTGTGGCAGGAGAGCACTCCCCAATTGAAAAAGAGACAGCTGGCGAGAAACAATATTTTTTTAAAAAAATATT